TCCTGTAGAGAAAGATTCAGCAGGAAGAAGAAAAACTAGGCTCTGCTCTTTAGTTTGACTGGGGCTAAGACTCAGAGAAGTTGGCCCCACAGGCTATCCTTTGAGCTGAGCCTTGAAGGACAGATAGAATTTGCAGGAGGAAAAGATGTTGCCATAGAGGATGGTAGACACAGGGAGGGAGCAGCTGGAGCAGAGATAGTCCATTGAAGGAGCAGCAGAAGAGGAGGCTGAAGAGGTACTGGCTGTGAGGAGCTGCTGCTGAGGGCAATTCAGGAGGTTTGGACAAGTCTCCTGTCTACTGTGGTCAACACTCATTGATGCCCACTTGCTGTCCAGTGCTGTGCTGGGCCCTGGGCTACAGAGATGAATCAGATGTGAACTCCTGCCCTATGGGGCAAAGCATCACAACACACCGCTAATGTTGATAATAATAATGGCTGACATTTATTGAATACTAACCATGAGCTGGGTACTCAGCAAGTTCTCATTTAATTCTCACAACAGCCCATAAGATAAATACTATTAGTGTCCCTGTTTTATCTATAAGGAAACTAAATCACTTGCCCAGGGATACCACAGCAAGTGACCAAAGCTGAGGTTGAATCCCAGGCCCAGGATCTTAACTCTATATTTTATCACCTCCCAAAAGCTAGAGGTCAGTTCTGCCTTGGAATGAAGGAGGTCAGAGAAGACATGAGGGAGGAGGAGACACTGAGTCTTAAAAAAATGAGTAGGTGTTTATCCGGTGGATAGAGATGGGAAAGATGTTTAAAATAGAAGGAGCAGCATTAGCAAAAGCATCAAGGAATGAATTAGCAAGTGGAGACCTTCAGATGGGGCTGAAATAGAAACTGGAGAGGCAGACAAGCCTTACATACTGGCTAAAAAGCTTGGATCTTCTTTAGGCAGTGGTGATGTGGTCTTATTTGTTTATAGAAAGATTCTGGCAGTGAGAGGAAAATGGTTTGGGAGGAGAGGCAGTCCATTCTAGGCATTCATTACTGTATGTTGAATAAATGAATGGAATTCAACAGTTACTATGTACCATTATGTTACAGTCATTGTACTGGGCTTTGGAGGATTTAGCAGTCAATGAGACAGATGGTGCAAATAGCCAGTCATTATGATATCCAGATGAAACTTAGTGAGACCTGAGCTTGAGGTGGTAGCTATGAGTTTGGGAGGAAGGGATGGATCTGTGGGATACTAAAAAGGTAGAATCAAAAGAACTAGATGACCAGTAGGACAGGATGGGCTGGAGAGATGGAGGAGAATCTACAGTCAATTCCCAGGTGTCTGGTTGGGAAGATTGGATGGACAGTAGAGGACAGGGAACACCAGAGGAGCAGCAGAATTGGGGAAACTAGAAACAATGTAGATGTCCAGCAACACAGGATTGGTTAAATTACGGTACATCAATGTGACAAAAGGCTTAACATAATTTTGAGGTCTTTATGACATTCTGTTATATCCATGTATCATTTAAACCAAATCTCTATTGTAAACTTGGATTTTTTCCTGGTTTTTCATTCTTTTAAATAACACTGCAGTAAACAGCTTTTTACAAAAATCTTCACCATTCTGATTTCTTTCAGAAGAGAAATTTTGGAGTCATAAGGTATAAACAGCTTTGAGGCCTTGTGTGTGTGTGTGTGTGTGTGTGTGTGTGTGTGTGTGTGTGTAGTGAAAGTATACACAACAAAACATTGGCCAATTCAACAATTTCTACATGTATAATTCAGTGATATTGGTTACATTCTTCATGTTGTGCAACCATTATTGCTATCCTTTTCCAAATTATTCCACCACCATTAACATAAACTCAATGCTCCCTAAGCAAAAGCTCCCTTTCCCCCTCCCACCCCTGGTAACCACTAATAGTCTTTGGCTTCTATGTATTTGCTTCTTTCATGTAGTGAGATCATACAGTATTTGTCCTTTCTTGACTGACATTTCACTCAGCATAATGTTTTCAAGGTTCATTCATGTTGTAGCATGTATCAGGACATCATTTCTCTTTATGACTAATATTCCATTGTATGTATAGGCCACATTTTGTTTATCCATTCATCTGTTAATGGACATTTGAGTTGTTTTCACCTTTTGGCTATTGTGAAAAGTGCTGCAGTGAACACTGGTGTACAGGTTTCTGTTTGCGTTCCTACCTTCACTTCTTCTGGATATTTATTCTAGGATTGGGATTACTGGATCATATGGTAATTCTGTGTTCAACTTTCTGAGGAACTGCCAAGCTGTTTTCCACAGCAGCTGTACCATTTGACATTCCCACCAGCAATAACTGAGGGTTCCAGTAGTTTCTCCACAACCTTGACAACACCTGTTCTGTTAAATTTTTTTGGTTTTGTTTTTTGATCATTGCCATTTGAATAGGAGTAAGGTGGTATCGTACTATGGTTTTGCTTTGCATCTTCCTAATGACTAATGACATTAAGCATCTTTTCAGGTGCTTGTTGGCCATTTGAAGATTCTCTTTGGTGAAAAGGCTGTTCGAGTCCTTTGCCCTTTTTTTGGTTGGGTTGTTTGTCTTTTTGTTGTTAAGCTGTAGACTTTTTTAAAATATATTTTGGATATTAGACTCTATCAGATAGATGGTCCCCCAAAATTTTCTCCCAAAATAAGTTGTCTTTTACTCCCATAGCAATGTAGAATCTATTGCAGCATTCCACCACAAACTGAGATACACACACATATGCATGTATACACATTTTAGTAGATAAAAGTATTATCTTGTTGTTTTAATTTGCATTTCTTTGTCACTATTGGGATTGAATACTTTTCATGCTTATTAAGCTTTTTTATATCCTTTACCCATTTTTATGCAGTCTTATGTTGATTTTTCATGAGTTTTTATAAATATGCATTTCTTATTATTTGTGACAAAATTTTCATTTTTTTGTTTTCCCTTAATTTTGCTTATTATATTTTTGATGTTCCAAATCAATTAAAAATGTTTTATAAAGTCACATTCTACTTATCTTTTTATTTCTTCCATTGCATTAAAGTTTAGAACATTCAATGATAAAATAAATATATATCTAAGTTTTTTTTAGTTTTACTTCTTTGTTTGAGGTATGATGTGAGGAGAGGAAATAATGGATCTTTTTTCCAAGTGGCAAGATTTCAGATATCACTTACTGAGAAATGTATCTTGTTCCCAGTGATTCATGAGACTTTCTTTATCACACCTGCTTCTGGGCTACCCTGTGTCATTGATCTTTATGTTTATTCATATACATGTATCACTGTTTTAGTAATTGCACATTCAAAATATATGTTAATAACTAACTTTTAAATTTGGAGGACTGTTTTTACTGGTTAAATCTTTTGGATGAGTTTTTAGAATCCTGATAAGTTTCAAAAATTCTACTGGGATTTTTCTTAGAATTATGTTAAGCTTATAAATTAATCTGAAAGGAATTGGCATTGTTTTAATATTCAGACTTCCCATCCAGGAAGTTTTTGTCTCTCCATTTTGTTTTGAAGTTGTCTTTTTATCTCTCAGTAAAGGATTGTCATTTTCTTCCTATCAAAAACTAAAAAACCAAACCCATTGCCATCGAGTCAAATCCAACTCATAGCAGCCCTAAAGGACAGAGTAGAACTGCCCCACAGGATTTCCTAGGCTATAAATCTTTATGGAAGCAGCCTGCCACATTTTTCTCCCACAGAGTGGTTAGTGAGTTCAAACCACCGACCTTTTGGTTAACAGCCAAGCACTTAACCACTTTGCCATCAGGGCTCCTTTTCTTCCTATAGGTCTCAAGTATTTAAGTTTTTGCTCAGTATTTGATGTTTTTTGTTAGGATTGCAGATGGGATCTTTTTTGTATTGTATCTGGTGATTGTTTCCTAATTGGTGTATAGGCCCTATTACTGAATGATTTTACCCACTCTAAATTTTGATTCTTTCTAGACAAATAACAAACTCACTGGAAATAACAATTAGGTTGGTGCCCATGGTTCGGTGATGCTTCCAGTCTGCAGGGTTGGTTTGTGACTTTCTCCAGCAGTGCCCAGAACCCAGTTTTAAGGGTGGAAAAGGTGGCTGGATGGGTTGATTTAAAGTTTAGGGTTTCCCTGGGCTAGGGCAATAGAAGGACAGGAGAAGCGTGTTGAGGAAGCTCACAAGAGAGTAGTTGACGTCATGTATCACATGATACACCACAGGGGCTAGACTATGAAGGGATCATACATTGAATGGAGAGGCAGGGCTGGGAGCCTAGAGGTCTCTGTGTGGTGGGGCGAAAGGGAGAGAAGTATAAGGAGAGGAAGCAGTGGCCTTGGAATGGCCCCTGAGATGTCAGGTTTCAGAGGCAATGCCTTCCCAGCACGCGGCCAAGATCTGTGAAGGAAGAATAACTCCATTTTAAAGTTAAAGAAACTGAGCCTCAGAGAGCTAGTTACTTACCCGAAGTCACCCAACTCCAGTCCGTGGCAGAACCGGGATTTGAGTATTGTTCTGCTATACCATGCTAGCTCATGTTCTGTCTTTATTTTTCAGGTTCACTTTAGAACAGTAGACTGAGACAGCCAGGAGAAACAGTAGAAAGACAAGAAGAACACAGAGCAGATAGGAGAGAGAGGGCAGGTTCCTCCTGGGCCCCTCGGTTGCTGCAAATGGGGAGACGGGACAGCTGGACCATTGGGTCTTCCTACTGGCCCATGAACCCCCTCAGGCCAGAGCAGCACACCCCTAATATTCTATACCCTGTGTCCCCAGCCCTGCAGCTCACTTTGTATTCCCCATTATGCACTGTGGCCCTACCACATGCTCACTGTTCCCATTGCATGCCCTTGTCTCTGTCGCACATGCCACGTCCCTACCACACACCCAAGTCCTCCCTACACCAGCTGTGTTTACACCTCATGTCCCCCATTTCCCATGTACCCATACATGCTCTGCATCCCTACCACTCATCGTGTCACCTCACAAGCTGTGTGCATGTGCCCAGCTCATGCCCACTTATGCTGTGTTCACAGAGTGCATCAGACGGCTTCTGGAAATCTGTGGCCACTCGAGTGCCCAAGGAGCCCCCTGAGATTCGCATCCTCAACCCCTATTTCATCCAGGAGGCAGCCTTCACCCTCATTGGACTGCCCTTCAACAACGGCCTTATGGGCCGGGGGGTGAGATAGCTGGGCCCCTGGTAGAGAGGAGGAGGGGTACAGAGGTACCTTGGGAAGGAAGGGAGGGTGTTGGGGGTGACAGTGCTCCAGGGAGGTGGTTTTTGAGGGAAAGAGCTTGGTCTTCAGGGTGGGAACAGAGCTTAGCTCTGGAGACCTTAGCTGAGGGTTGGCCTGACCCAACCCTCCAGCTGAACCCTACATCCCCCCTGCTCCCCCCCTCCAGAACATCCCGACACTTGGCAGTGTGGCAGTGACCATGGCACTACATGGCTGTGATGAAGTGGCAGTCGCAGGCTTTGGCTACGACATGAGCACGCCCAATGCACCCCTACACTACTATGAGACCGTGCGCATGGCAGCCATCAAAGAGGTATGGGGTTAGTGGGAGTCACTGCCTGGGCTGAGTCTAGGGGTGGCACTCCCACACAGAGGATGGGCCCTGACTGCATATGCACAAATGAATGATAAAGGGATAAGCCAGGGCTGGTCTGGCTGCCCAGAGCGCCCAGGAAGGCCCTGCCCCACCCACCCCACCCCATGGCTAAATTGAGACACTGGACACCTATCCAGGCCTCTGACCACCAAGCAGAGGCAAAGACATCCATCCTCAGTGCCTCTCTATCTCCAGCCTCCTATTGAGCCCAATGTCCTCATCTGCAGCCTTCTCCCTGAAATCTCCCTTCATTGGACCCTGCCTGCTTGTGTCCCTGTACGTACCTCCTTCATGCTGCAGTCCTTAGCCACCATACTGTAGTCTTTGGCACCAGCTCAAAGTCATCCTCTCCACTGCCATCCCTGCCTTCCCCCAGAGGACTTCCTTGCCCCCTTTATCCCTTCCTTACTCCTTCCTTGGCTCTCAGTCCCAGGACAGCCCCCCTGTACCTTCACCACCCTTCCCCAAGGCCATGCACTTATGCTCTTTGTCACCCAGCATTGCTTCCCAGGTAATTCAGAAAGCAAAAATCCTCACAACTAGACCAATAAGCAACATCAACAAGCAACATCATGATAGACAGGGAAAAGATTGAAGTTGTCAAGGATTTCATTTTACTTGGATCCACAATCAATGCCCATGGAAGCAGCAGTCAGGAAATCAAAAGACGCATTGCACTGGGCACATCTGGTGCTAAAGATCCCTTTGAAGTGTTAAAAAGCAAACATGTCACTTTAAGGACTAAGGTGCGCCTGACCTAAGCCATGGTGTTTTCAGTAGCCTAACATGCATGTGAAAGCTGGACAGTGAATAAGGAAAACCAAAGAAGAATTGACACCTTTGAATTATGGTGTTGGCAAAGAATATTGAATATACCATGAACTACCAAAAGAACAAACAAATCTGTCTTGGAAGAAGTATAGCCAGAATGCTCCTTAGAAGCAAGGATGATGAGACTTTGTCTCACATACTTTGGACATGTTATCAGGAGGGATCAGTCCCTGGAGAAGGACATCACGCTTGGTAAAGTAGAGGGTCATCGAAAAAGAGAAGGACCCTCAATGAGATGGACTGACACAGTGGCTGCGACAATGGGCTCAAGCATAACAACGATCATAAGGATGGTGCAGGACCGGGCAGTGTTTTGTTCTGTTGTACATAGGGTTGCTATGAGTCGGAATCGACTTGATGGCACCTAACAACAACAACAACATATTCCTTTTACATAAACTTTATATAAAAGTTTAAGGCAGAGGGAGAGGGACCATAGACATAGGCAGCACCAGCTCATGAAGGGCTTTCTATGCCCTAGCAAGGAATTGGAACTTTATTCTGAAGGCAGTAGGGAACCATGGAAGAGTTCGAGGCTACAGATTAGAAGGTAGTAAGGTCACTGTAACTGCAGTATGGAATAGAGGGGACAAGGCAGGAATAGAAAATAATTGGAAGGTTGTTGCAGCAGTCCGGGCAAGAGATGACTCACTCACGCGAACAAGGAAAATGAAAGGCAAGTAAAACTTTGTTGTGAGCCAGGCTTAGGTATCAACTGCAATACAGGGAGCTCAGGTAAGCCTGGCTGTTGTCTGCATGGAAGGAGGAATCGGGAAAACAGAGTAACAAAGAGAATTGCCAGATACAGAGAGCTACACCCCAGGGCAGACTTTTTTATTATAAAAACTTTCAGACATATTAACAAGTACAAGTAGTTCCCAACTTATGATGGGGTTCCATTCTGACGACTCCGTCGTAGGTCGGTTTTGATGTAAGTCAGATAACCTCTTTTTTTTTTTTTTTTTAGTTTTCATTATTATTGCCTTTTATTATCAGTACCTTTATAAATCTGATCTTGATTTGTCTTTTGGGGTTGGAAACATAACGTATAAACTTACAGATGTATTTTAATACATATGTACTGTCTTAGTTGTCTAGTGCTGCTGTAACAGAAATACCACAACTGGATTGCTTTAATGAACACAAATTTATTTTCTCACAGTTTAGGAGGCTAGAAGTCGAAATTCAGGGCGCCGGCTCTAGGGGAAGGCTTTCTCTGTCAGCTCATGGGGAAGGTCCTTGTCTCTTCAGCTTCTGTTTCCTGGTTCCTTGGAGATCTCCATGTGGCTTGGCATCAGTCTTCCCCCATTTCTGCTCTGCTCCCTTGTTTAATCTCTTATATCTCAAAAGAGACGGACTTAAGAGACACCCTACACTAATCCTGCCTCATTAACATAACAAAGAGAACCCATTCCCAAATGGGATTATAACCACAGGCACAGAGGTTAGGATTTACAACACATGGGGGGACAAAATTCAATCTGTAACACATACATACATAAAAAAAATACAATGTCTATAAAAAAATGGATGACATTGGCATTTTGACAGTTGTGGTAACACTCCACTTCTGGAAGATTCTAGATCTTCTGGATTATCCTTGGGAATGGGGATGCCATTTCTAGTCAGAAAATTAGTGAGAGTTGTTTGTATAGTCCTTTTACGAACTGCAACGTTATATGTAGTACATATTACTAACGATAACATGTACAAAAAAAACCCAGATGATTGTAAGTGTAATTTGTTGTAACTCGAATATGTCGTAAGTCAGGAACTACCTGTATAAACAGTGGTATATTGAACTCCACGTACTTATCACCCACCTTTCCCAACTATCAACATGTGACCAATGTTTCATTTATTCTGCCTCTCACTTCTCATTGCCCCACTGATTATTTGGAAGCCAAGTCTCAGAGATCATATCAGCCCATCCATAAATACTTCAGTAATTTTCCCCCAAAAGATAAGGACTTTTTATTTTTGACATCATCACACCTAAAAAAAAATTAATAATTCCCTAATATCCTCACATAGACAGTCCTGTGTTAACCTTTTAACCCTCAGTGATTCCCAGTCATTACTCTTGAAACTGGCTCATCAGATTGGTTACTTCCGCCTGGGAGGAGACTTTGAGTAAATCATTTTATGAGTTTTTTCATTTGCTTCAATTCTGACCCTGCCCTCTGAGCATCAGTTTTCTTACCTCTAAAATCTAATTTTATTCAACAAATATTGTTGAGCGCCTACTCTGTGCCGGACATTGTCTTAGATATTGAAGATACCAAACCAAAAAACCAAACCCGTTACTGTCGGAGTCGATTCTGACTCATAGTGACCCTATATGACAGGGTAGAAATGCCTTATAGGGTTTCCAAGGAGCACCTGGTGGATTAGAACTGCCAGCCTTTTGGTTAGCAGCCATAGTGCTTAACCACTACACCACCAGGGTTTCCACTTAAGATACAGCAGTAAACAAAAGAAAGCCCCTGCCCTCAAAGACAGAGACTGTGAGGCAGATGCTAGAATCCAAGGACTGAGGGCCAGTTGCCAGGTATCTGCAACCAGGGGGGCTGATTCGCAGGTGGCAAAATATAAAGACATGAGCTTCCAAGGAGCAAGAGGTTTTTAGGGAGTTTGGAGGGACAGTCTTGAAGAAGCAGCAATAAAGATTGAGGAAGACCCTCCCCACCTTCAGTCTCTGTGGAATGTGGAGCATGAGGGAGAAAACAGTCCCCACTTGAGTGTGTCTGGGGCCTTGTCCTTAGGGGACAGCCAGTTTTGTGATTGGCACGAAAAGTTGAAGGGAATGCTCAGAGAAGAAGGAATATAAGCAATTTTGATGATAACTACCTGAATTTCAGCTTGAAAAAATTTGGAAGGTTGGAGAGGGTTGACTGGATTAGAATAAGGGCAGGATAGAGCCATATAGGGATTGTATAAGTGTTTGTTGTTGTTAGGTGCTGTGGAATTGGTTTCTACTCATAGCAACCCAACGTACAACAGAACGAAACACTGCCTGGTGCTGCACTATCCTCATGATCGTTGCTATGTTTGAGTACATTGTTTCTGCCACTGTGTCATTCCATCCTGTTGAGGGTCTTCCTCTTTTTTGCTGATCCTCTACCAAGCATGATGTCGTTCTCCAGGGATTGGTCCCTCTTGATAATATGTTCAAAGTACATGAGACAAAGTCTCACCATCCTCACTTCTAAGGAGCGTTCTGGCTATACTTCCAAGACAGATTTGTTTTTCTGGCAGTCCACAGTATATTCAATATTCACCAACACCATAATTCAAATGCATAAATTCTTCTTCGGTCTTCCTTATTCACTGTCTAGCTTTCCCATGCATAAGAGGCGATTGAAAATACCATGGCTTGGGTCAGGTGCACCTTAGTCCTAAAGGTGACATCTTTGCTTTTTAACACTTTAAAGAGGTCTCTTGCAGCAGATTTGCCCAATGCAATATGTCATTTGATTTCTTGACTGCCGCTTCCATGGGCGTTGATCGTGGATCCAAGTAAAATGAAATATTTGACAACGTCAATATTTTCTCCATTTATCATGATGTTGATTATTGGTCCATTTGTGAGGATTTTTGTTTTCTTTAAGTGTAATCCATACTGAAAGCTATAGTCTTTGAGCTACATCAGTGCTTCAAGTCCTCTTCACTTTTAGGAAGCAAGGTTGTGTCATCTGCGTATCTCAGGTTGTTAGTGAGTCTTCCTCCAATCCTGATGCCGTGTTCTTCTTCACGTAGTCCAGCTTCTCGGATTCTCTGCTCAGCATACAGATTGAATAAGTATGGTGAAAGGATACAACCCTAACACACAACTTTCCTGACTTTAAACCACACAGTATCCCCTTGTTCTGTTCAAACAACTGCCTCTTGGTCTATGCACAGGTTCCGCATGAATACAATTAAGTGTTCTGGAATTCCCATTCTTCATAAGTTATCCATAATTTGTTATGATCCACACAGTTGAATGCCTTTGCATAATCAATAAAACACAAGGAAACATCTTTCTAGTATTCTCTGCTTTCAGCCAGGATCCATCTGACATCAGCAGTGATATCTCTCATTCCACATCCTCTTCTGAATCTGGCTTGAATTTCTGGCAATTTCCTGTCAATGTACTGCTGCAGCTGTTTTTGAATTATCTTCAGCATAATTTTACTTGCAAGTGATATTAATAATATTGTTCAATAATTTCCACATTCAGTTGGATCGCCTTTCCTTGGAACAGGCATGAATATGGATCTCTTTCAGTTGGTTGGTGAGGTAGCTGTCTTCCAAATTTCTTGGCATAGACGAGTGAGCACTTCCAGTGCTGCATTCGTTTTGTTGAAACATCTTAATTGGTATTACGTCAGTTCCCGGAGCCTTGTTTTTCATCAATGCCTTCAGTGCAGCTTGGACTTCTTCCTTCAGTACCATCAGTTCTTGATCATATGCTACCTCCTGAAATGGTTAAATGTCGACCAATTCTTTTTGGTACAGTTACTGTATGTATTCCTTCTATCTTCTTTTGATGCTTCCTGTGTCATTTAATTTTTTGCCCATAGAATCCTTCAGTGTTGCAACTTGAGGCTTGAGCTTTTTCTTCAGTTCTTTCAGCTTGAGAAATGCCAAGCATGTTCTTCCTTTTTTGTTTTCTAACTCCAGGTCTTTGTACATTTCATTATAATACTTTACTTTGTCTTCTGGAGCCACCCTTTGAAATCTTCTGTTCAGGTCTTTTACTTCATCATTTCTTCTGTTCGGTTTAGCCACTCTATGTTCAAGAGCAAGTTTCAGAGTCTCATATGACATCCATTTTGGTCTTTTTTTTCTTTTCTGTCTTTTTAATGACCTTTTGCTTCATTCATGTATGAGGTCCTTGATGTCTAGTGTTCAGTCATTAGTGTTTAGTGCGTCAAATCTCTTCTTGAAATGGTCTCTAAATTCAGGTGGGATATAGTCAAGGTCATACTTTGGTTCTTGTGGACTTTTTCTAATTTTCTTCAGCTTTAACTTGAGCTTGCATGTAAGCAGTTGATAGTTTGTTCCACAGTCGGCCCCTGGCCTTGTTCTGACTGATGATATTGAGCTTCTCCATCATCTCTTTCCACAGATGTAGTCAATTTGATTCCTGTGTATTCAGTCCGGTAAGGTCCACATGTATAGTCACTGTTTATGTTGTTGAAAAAAGGTATTTCCAATGAATAAGTCATTGGTCTTGCAAAATTTCATCATGCGATCACTCACGTCGTTTCTGTCACCAAGGCCGTATTTTCCAAGTACCGATCCTTCTTTGTTTCTAACTTTTGCATTCCAATAGCCAGTAATTATCAATGCATCTTGATTACACGTTTGATCAATTTCAGCTGCAGAAGTTGGTAAAAATCTTCAGTTTCCTTATCTTTGGCATTAGTGATCGGTGCATAAATTTGAATAATAGTCGTATTAACTGGTCTTCCTTGTAGGCATATGGATATTTTCCTATCACTGACAACACTGTATTTTAGGATAGATCTTGAAATGTTTTTGACAATGAATGGGACACATTTCCTCTTCAATTTGTCATTCCATATGATTGTCTGATTCAAAATGGCCAACACCAGTCCATTTCAGCCTACTAATGCCTAGGGTATCGATCTTCAAGTGTATGTATTTGACACTAGTAAATAGTGGCTGTTAATAGCATTATGGCGAGGCTCAATGCTGACAAATGCCAGAGATCAGTTGGGCATGAACTATGATGAGGGTATTGGCTTTCATTCATTCAATCCTTTCTTCATTCATTCAGAGACTTAGTCATCAAAGCTTTGAGGTGAGGGTAACGGGGATAGGAAAGAATCTGATCCTGGGTGAGGTTTTCCCCCAGGAAAGCCCTGGAAGGCAGTATCTTCTTTGCATTAACAATGAGATTAGCCTTTTCTCCTCAGGTTCCTCTGATCTCAGCAGCAGGATTTCATCAGCTGTCCGCAGGCCTGAAAGTGGATTGCATCAGGCCAGAGGATGACTAAACCATCCCTGGCTGTCTCTTTCCAATGTTGGGCCCACCCCCAGGCCTGGGCCTGATTTAAGTGACTCACATTGCCTGCCCTCAGGGTGCCTAGGACCTATGTGTTGTGGGACTAGGAGGGGGTTGATGTCTGTGGGAACAAGGTTCTTTCCTCAGCACTAGAGAAGGGGGTTGGTAAGTTTACATCCTCTAAGACTCACAAGAAGTCTAAAAGTATAGTTCTTCTGGGATGAGGAAAGGGGTTAGAAGGTTATTTTCTCCAGATGTTGTTAAGACAGGAGGATGAGTTGTGGCATTTCTGGAACAGGGTCATCATTATCTCTTTGACATCTGATTACAAGTGTCTGCCCTCAGACCTTCCACAGTCACAGAGCATCGAAGCGTGGTGATTGGAAGAGGGCACTGTGCCCTAGGAAGGTGCAGTAAAGGTTTGAGCGGGGCCCTGTCCTAGCAGCCACAGCAACCACCTGGGCTGCCCAACCAGTCACATCTCCATCTCTTTCCTTTCAGTCCTGGACACACAATATTCAGCGAGAGAAAGAGTTTCTGCGGAAGCTGGTGAAAGCACGTGTCATCACTGACCTAACCAGTGGCATCTGAGGTGGGCCCAGCACATGGCCAGAGAGGCCCAGGCACCACCAGGAACAAGCAGCAGCCACCACCACCTGCCCACTTCATTGGCCTCGGTCTAGCTCTGCCTGAGAGGCACAGGAGCCTTCAGACCCAGAGAAGGACAGTGCCAAGTGGCCCCAGGGATGGCGTGGCCTTGGCAGGGCAGCTGGAGTAGCTGCTCGAGGCCAGCCTCAGAGACCAGCACTCAGCCTCACTTTCAGCCTGGCTCCTTGAAGCCAGAGGGCCAGGAAGCACCTGGCTGTGCCCAGCAGGCCCAGCATGCAGGAGGTGGGACACGAGGCAGCAAGGCTGCTGCCAGAATCATTTCTCCAATCAGTGTTTGGTGTATTATCATCTTGTGCATTTGGGTAGGGGGAGGGTAGGGATAATTTATTTTTAAATAAGGTCAGAGATGTCTAATTTGGTCCACCTGCCATGCAGCAAGAGGCCCACTAGAGGGCCCATCAGGCAGTGGTACTGATCAATGGGCTCCCTGTAGGGTGGGAGTGCCATGATTGGCCAGTACCCTTCTTTAGCACTACAGGGAGGTGGACAAGATCTCATGCCAGCCCCCTCCAACTCTTGATGCTATTTGGCCTTTTTTGGGGAAAAGATGGGGTATTCCCACTCACCAACCCCTATATGCTCCACAGGGAAATCTTGGAGTCACCCCTTCTGAGCCATCAACAAGACAGCCCCTGGACTAGAGCAAAGAGAACTTTAGAGCTCAGGAGGGGAGGCCTGACCCAGCCCGGTGGGAAGGGCCCCTCTCCCTAGCTGCAGCTGATCCATGGGATGGTGCCCAGGTCTGGACTGACCAACTTGTCAGCCGCTCTGGGTTTCAGCAATGAGACTGCCAGGCCCTTGGGTTCTGCCTTTAGCCTGGACCAGAGGGAAGTGAGGCCCAAGAACTTTACCCAGGCTGTGGCAGCCATTCTAGGCAGCCATCATGGAAGCAATAAAGCTCTTCCCTGATCCTAGTTGCCTCTTGCTTTCTCTGGCTTTCCTAGAAGAAATAGGAACCTGAGGCCTTAGCAACTGTGCAAAACCCAAGGGCCATCTCTCCAGCTCACAGATTTCTGAGTCCCTTTCACTTCTCATGTCAACTGTACGACCTGAGTATCCACCTAGGAGGTCTCTGGAGCCTCTCTTGTCCCATGCAATCCTGTATCCTCTTTGCTTTAAGAAAGACAGAGCTGGGTATCAGAGCATGCCCCAGAGCCCACTCAGGTGCCTTGTAGAAGAGCCAGAAGACTGGGGATTGGAGCCTGCAGCTCTAGGACGGTGTTCTGGGCCACCATAGCCACAGTTCAACACAGCACAGGAGAGATTCACTGCCGAGCACCCAGCCTGGAGAGGCCCACAGACCTTCCCCACCAGCACCTCCGGCTCGGCTTTGGGAAAGACATGCCCCATGTCCTCTCCCTGCATTGCCCCTCTCCCAGCACAGAACAGGAAGGCACACAGCCCAGCTCCAGGCATCCTCTGGTGAACTTTAGAAGGGGCATTCCCACACACATACACCTCACTCCCTTAGAGCTTCAGAGTCTGAAGCCTCCCTTCCCCAGCATTCTCAGGCAGGCCTGAGAATGGGGCAAACACACGGCTGAACTTTAGGCCATGGAGAGAGCTTCACATCAGACGTGACCACTGTTGCAGTAAGCGGGGGCTGGCTGATCCCTTCACCTCTCCCCTGCTCTGCTGCATTCCAAGAGTCCCTGCAGCCCCAGGCCCTCCCACAAGTGACCCCAAGGACAGAGAGTCCTGGCCATATCTGAAGGAGCCCTGCCTCCTCACATGCCTCCTCTTAAACTTCTGCAGCCTGTCCTCAGGCAGAAGGTTCCTCAGCTGAGGGGAAAAGCAAGGCGCAACCTCCTCCAGGCCCTGAATGAGAGACAGGCAAACCCAGAAACTCCTGTTTCCAGCTCCAATACATATCACATTCTATGTGAACAGCACCGCCTGGAGTTGTACAGGGCACAGCTGCATGCCTGTAATCAGCAGCTCTAGCTGAAAAAATCCCAGGGAAGTCCCCTCAGCCGAGCAGCCAGTTGTGGGAGGCAGCAGATAGTGGAGCTGCTCACCCCCTGACCTGTCCCTCAGGGGTCCTGTCAAGCCCGGGGACAGCCAATACCACCACCAGTTCTCTGCAGTCAGTCCTCTGCAGTCTGGCTTCTTGTTCCCACTGCCACACAAACACTAATCTCACAGAAGCTGTGGTTCTCGGCCTCACTGTACACCAGAATCACCTGTGCAGATTTGGAAAACTACATATGCTCACCTGACATTCTGATCCAGGTCTAGGGTGGGGCCCGGATGTGGGTAGTTTTAAAAGGTCCACAGGTGGTTCTGATGCATAGCCAGGGTACAGCTGGTCCACACATGTTTTCTGAGCACTCTCATCCCCACCCATGGCTTCCAACTGTCAGTCCACAATTCCCAAATTGCCATCTCCAGCTCAGCTCTCTCCACTTCGCCCCAGGCCTACAAATCCAGCCACTTCCTGAACATTTCCACTAGGATAATCCACAGGCCCAGCTCAACATGTCCAACCCTGCCCTCAGAAGCTCCTGCTCCCAGCCTGCCCCTCCTCCAGGGAGTCGCAGTCCCTAGAGTGCATCCCTGTCCACCCGGTCACCCTGGCCAAAGGCTTGCGTAGTCCTTCCAGTTTTGCCGCCCCATCCAGTCATGCACCACCTGAGTTTTTCAAAAGGGTGAGCTCCCGAAATGGCACATGCAGCCCCACACTCTGGCCACAACCTGCTTCAGACTTCATACTCTCCAGCAGCAGCCTCCCCTCTCTCCACCTCTCATCTGCCTTGTCTCCAAACCCGCCTCCCCCTACAGCAGTCGCCCCACTAAAATCCACATGTGATCACACCATTCTTCTACTTAAAAGCCTTCAGTGGTTGCCATCCTCCTTAGGAGAAAGTCCAGATGCATGAGATCTGGCCTTTCCTTGCTTCTCTTCATGTTACTCGCTTCTACCCCCCACCTGCCAAGTTGCTACTCTTCGGCTTCTGAAATGCTACCCTGCACCTCCTACTTCAAGCCCTAGCTCAAATGTTCTTTGTCTGTGACCCCCCTTTTCAGTCCTGGGCACCCACTTCTCCCAGTACTGCTCTGGCGGAACCACAGTGGGCGGCAGTGTTTGCACGCCTGTCTGTGGGAACAAGGTTCCGAGGTGGGCGGCGGGGTGACTCCAGCGGGGTCAGACCTTGGATGGGGCCAGCCTGGGGCGTCGCCGACCCGACGAGGCGAACGAAGCGTCTGTTGGGAGAATAAACTTAGCGGTGATCCGAGAGCGGAGCGTAGTAGCCGCAAGGCGGCCGGGCCGGACTCCTAGGCAGCGCGCACTGGCGGGCGGCGACCCAAGGCAAGGACCAGCTTGTCCCCCTGCTCCCCGCCCCCCTCTCCCTCCCCGCCCTCGGCCCGGCCCAACTCCGAACTTCGCGCGTCTACAAACTGTACTCCCAGTTTCTGCGCCTCTTCGCCGCCCGCGTTCTCCGTTCTGTGTCCCAGGTACCCTCCTAGCGTACCCGCCCTCGGTCCCTCTAGCCTGGCCCGAAGGGGACCGGATCCGACAGGCGGAGCGGCCAGGTGAGCCCTGAAAGGTGGGGCGGGGCGGGGGCGCTCTGGGCCCCACCCCGGGATCCGGTGACGCCGGGACTGGAATTTGACACCGGACGGCGGCGGGCAGAAGGCTGCTGAGGGATGGAGTGGGGCCCGGCCCCCAGACACGGCCCACGGGCTCCGCCAGCAACAGGTCCTTCGGGTCCCAGCCCTTGCTGCGACCCAGGCCCAGAGCCCCGCACCCGCGGTAAGCCGGCCCGCTTGTCCATCTCCTCGTCCAAACCTGGTTGGATGCGTCTGGGGCACGGGGGAGAGGGCAGGATGGTCCCCCTCCATTCCGTTTCTCGCATCTTCCCTTTCCTGGGCCCGCCACGCTGCTCTCTGCCCCTCCCAACCCCTTCAGTCCCCGCTTATCGCTTGTCAGACCGCCCTAGCTGTGTCCCCTCTGTGATGTGAGGCTTCCGCTGCCGCTACAGGGCACAGACTGGCTGCCAAGGTGGTGCTTCTGGCTAAAAGAGGAGCTGCCAGGTGCAAAGCCCTGGGCATGAGCCATCTGAGCTGCGGGGGAAAGCCCAGCACTGGTTCTGACAAAGTTGTGTAGAAGAACACCAGCAGGGTTCCATGGTGAGTAGCGGGCTGGTGGGCGGGGGAAGGTAAGGGCTAGAGGACCAAGGGTCCCCAGAGGGCCAGGAGGGAGAGACAGGGCCTGAGCTGCCCTCGAGGGACTTGCTCTGGGGCTCCCCCTTGTGCAGAGGGCTCTAAAGTCTTCCTTGCTTGGACCTTACACCTGGTCTTCTCTCCATCAGTGATAACGGTCACTGACTGGCCTGGCTAACAGGACCTTGTAACCAGTTAGCTGAGAGGTACATACCTGGCCCTGGAGGACCACATCAGGGAGGCCTGGGGCAGTCTGGCCCACAGATGTGCAGGCATTCTGTGTGCTGGTGTAGGGGGTTGGGGAATAGCTGGGACCCAAAAGCAGGTCAGCTAGTGAGGGCTTATGAGGACTCTAGGGTTCTAGAGGGGTGTTTGGGAGTGTTGGCCAGTGGAGGTTCATGAAGGCTAGTGGGGCTCAGGAAGGCTGGCTCATGGGGGAAACTTCTAGAGCAGGGCTAGGCTGCCAGATACAAGGGAGGCTGGAAGGGGGGGGGGGTGACCGGAACCAGTTCTCAGGGTAGCTCAGTCATGATGACCAAGCTGAGTGGCCTCCCTGGCCCTCCAGGGAGTGGCTCAGGCCTGAGTGTAGCTGAGGGTATGGAAAAGCCCACCCCTCTTTGAGTCTGCAGGCTTGGCATATGCTGCCCTCTGGTGGCCATGGGAAGCCATGGCCCAGGCCCTGGGTTCTCTCAGGGCCTATCAGTCCCGCCAACTGCTGGCTCATGGGGGGACATCTGTGGTCAGAAGAGTGACCTTGGGACTGTGGGTCCAGAACAGAGGTCACAGAGAAGCAGGGTGCAGCAGCATAGGCTGAGGCCTGGGCCTCACTATCAACGAATAACTCTTATGGTGACCAGCAAACACTATCATTTTTTCTCCAGGTCTCAGCTTCCTCCTCTGTGGCATGGGGCGAAGGCTCTCTATAGAGACCAAGGGTGTCCAGCTGCTCCCTTCTCCAGTCAGCCCTGGCAGCTCCAGCCCTGCAGCACAGAGCAGGAAGGTGCTGGGAAAAGAAACCTCCCAGCTGTGCAGTTCCAGCCTTGTGACCTTAGACAATCGCTGAGCTTCTCTGAGCCTTGTTTGCTCATTTGGGAAATGGGGATTTTACTATCATGGGTTGTGTGAAAGAGGGAACAGCTGCAAAGCACTTCACACACAGTAAAGTTCTCAATGCAGCAACTTCTCCTCCTCCTGGGTGGAGTTCAGCTATCAAAGCCCCTTGTCCTCACCTGGAGAAACTGAGATGGAGGGATGTCCTGCTCAACAGATAACTCATCTCTCAGTGGTCCAAGCTGCCTTAAGAGGAGGGTGGGAGAACAGGCAACAAAGGCTGACAAGAGCCCCTGGTGTTAACAGATATGGAGCCTGGACTTGGAGGCCCTTCTGTGCTACCCCACTGCCCCAAGACTAGGCAGCAGGTGAGTGGTTCTCCCAGGGACTCCCAGCTGGTATTGGGGAGAGGTGGGCTTGATTGGGAAGGAAGAGCAGGGCTTGGCCTGGGCAGAGGTCAGACGTGGGAGGGGAAATGGCCAGGGAGGGACTGACAGTGTGGGAGAAGGAGCCTGACTTCTCTTTCTGGTCATTGCCCTCAGGTGATCCCTCCTCTGAGCTCCCCCAGTTCTCTGACACCGTATCCTTGAACTTAAATCCCCAACTGGAAGCCTATTCCCCCACCCCAAACCTCTTCCTCCCTGAGGCTCTGCTTTGTCCCTCTGCGCAGTCCCCCGTGTGGCCGACCCTGGCCGCCCTGGCCCTGTTGAGCAGCGTCGCCGAGACCTCCCTAGGCCCCGTATCCCGCAGCCCCGCCACCCGCGAAGGAGCTGCGCCCGTCTTGGCTCCCCGCGCCGGTAACCTGCAGGGTAGGTGAGAGGACAAGGGAGCGGGGGCAGGGCTGGCCCGGGACACCGCTCTTGACTCCGTCTCATTCCAGGAGGACGCATGGCCCATTTGTGCGGCGGAAGAGCCCGGCGGACACCGCCCCCACCGCCCCGACCCGCGCCGTCTCCGTCCGCACCGTCCCGCGGGGGCCGCGCGCCTCGTGCCGGGGGCCGGGGGAACCGCGCGAACCAGGGGAGCCGCGCGCGGGCCGCGGGGACGCGGGGCTGCCGCCTGCGCACGCAGCTGGTACCGGTGCGCGCGCTTGGCCTGGGCTACAGCTCCGACGAGCTGGTGCGTTTCCGCTTCTGCAGCGGCTCCTGCCGCCGTGCGCGCTCCCCTCACGACCTCAGCCTGGCCAGCCTGCTGCGCGCCGGGGTCCTGCGGCTGCCCCCGGGCTCCCGGCCTGTCAGCCAGCCCTGCTGCCGACCCACGAGCTACGAGGCAGTCTCCTTCATGGACGTCAACAGCACCTGGAGGACCGTGGAACGCCTCTCAGCTACCGCCTGCGGCTGCCTGGGTTGAGAACTCGCCAAAGGGTTTGCCGACTGGACCAGTACCCATGGCTTTTCCTGCCTGGAGCCCTTCCATAGGGACCCACCAGCCAGGGGCCTCAACCAAAGATGGAGGCCTCAAAGGTGAGGCCCCAGCCGGGTAATGGACATCAGCCATGGAGAGATGGACCTAAGACAGGACCAGTGGCCCCAGGGTCCTCTCCCTGCGGGTCCCAGCACCACAGACACCAGAGACCTCAGCTACAAAGACCTCTTAAGACCCATTGCTCAGACTTTGGCACTTATAAGGCCACGGATCTGGGACCCCTACTCTGGAGAAGCCAGCAGGGTCTGAGACCGCAGCCCACACCTTGGGGGATGGAATTTGAAGGAGATATTGCAGCTGCATGGCTGAAAGTGTCTGTGGTGGAGCTGGCCTTGTACTCATTTGTGGGAGCTGGACCCCTATTTATTATTTCTAAGTTATTTATTTACTTCTGTGGTTTGTCAAATCCTTTCCTGGGCAGTGGGGGCTGGATGGACAGCAGGCTGGATGGAGATCATGCCCTGGTCGCCCCACTCATTCATTTCAGCAGTGGCAGATTAACCAGTAAGCAAGGGACATAGGGGCTTACTTGTGCTTTCTTACTAATCTGTAATGCACAATTTCACCTGAAAAACAGATGTTTCAAAGATGTGAAACAGTAACCCATGTGAAATTGTGCACTACAGATATAGTAAATAAACACAGTTAAGCCCTTGCTTCCCTTGCTTACTGGTTGATCCATCCCTGGACTTCGGCCCCACTCAGCAATCACAGGCCTGCATTCCAGGCTTGCCCCCCACCCCCCACAACTGCTTGCCCCTCCCAGCAGCTCTGGGATGAGGGGCATAGAACACAGGCAGAGTCAGGTGGCAGAGTGCACACAGGCCAGCTCACAACCCCTTCACAGTCCCCAGCACTTGGGTTAACTATGGAGAAAAAGACTGCAGAGCCTTCTGTGGTGAAAGTCATACCCTTGTGACCTCAGGTATCCCTGGGTTCCTGCTTTGTGGGTGAAGACACAGAGAACCACACATTGCCACGCCCCACTGTCATTGAGCAGTGTCCTACCATTGAGGGAACTGTCTTGAGAGCATCCTGACAGGTGCACACACTGCCTCCACTTGCAGATGGGCCAGCATGGGGAGCTCACTACCCACATTCCATGAGGCAGCCCAGGGTGAGAAAGTGTCTGTGAAAAGGCTGAGGGCATGGAAGGAGAGTGCAGTGAGAGGCTGGTTCAGGGGGATGAGGCACAGGAAAGCACTGAGGGCCCTCAGAGGGACCTGAATCTTGGGTGATGACCAAGGATATTCATGTATACTTTCAACAGATATTTATTAAGCACCTATTACGTGTCAGAGGAGCCCTTGTGGCACGGTGGTTAAGACTTAGGTTGCTAACCAAAAGGTAACCAGTTCAAATCCACCAGCCGCTCCTTGGAAACTCTATGGGGCAGTTCTAACTGTCCTATAGGGTTGCTATGAGTCAGAATCGACTGGACGGCAATGGGTTTGGTTGTTTGGTTTTTTGGTGTTTTATGTCAGATGGGTCCCTGGTGTCACAAACAGTTTGGGCTCGACTACTAACTGAAAGGTTGACAGTTCGAATCCACCCAGTGGTGCCACAGAAGAAAGGCCTGGTGATCTGCTTCCATAAAGATAACGCCAAGAAAACCCTATGGAGGAGCTGTACTCTGTAACACGTGGGGTCGCCATGAGTTGGAATTGACTCCGCAGCAATGGGTTTGGTTTTTTTGGTTTGGATATGTCAGATAAAATAGATACTGGATAGACACCATAGATACAGATAAAACATGATCCCTTCCCTTAAGAAGCTGAAAGCATAGTAGGAGAGACAGACAATAAATAAGCAATTACATAAATAATTATTTAAATTCCATTTGACAAGTATGAAAAAGGATCAGAAGATGAGAGGTAACAACTTCATCTTGTAGAAAAGAGAGGTCGGTGCTGACTCTGGCCTCTCATACTGTCCCTGAGCCATCTCCAAAAAGTCAGTGCAATCCTCTGAGTTTTTCTGCATGTCCTATGAAAATTTATCTCCTGGGTCCTATGGATTTGTATTGGGCAGACCTATGTGATTTTCTCCTTTGGGAATAAGATGGGGAAACATTTTTGGAAGAACTGTGGGACATCCAGGGGGCTGTCAGGAGGCAGCGGAATATGCTGGTCTGGAGCTGAGGAGGGGGCGTCTGGGCAGGAGGTAGATCTGGGAGCAGTGAGCACAGGGGCAGTAGCTGCAGCCAGGGTGGATGAGAGCACCCAGGGAGAGATGTTGAGTGAGAATAGGGTTGTAGGTGGGACCCCCTCAGGCATTGGACAATGTTGACTGAAATTCCTTCCAAACTGCTAAGAGCCTGCCTGCTTTGGCACAGGTCCCCCATCACCTAGGCTAGAGTGAGGAGCTGGTAAGAGCTCTGGGGGCTGGGCCCACTTTGTGTCAAGGAGTAGAAATGTGTCTGTGCTCCCACTCTTCTGTGTTCATGGGCTCTGTTCTGGATGCTCCCAAAACTCTGGTGCCTTCATGCTGTCCTCAAGCACCCCTTGATCCCCTCTTTCTACCTCCAAACTGATTCAAGATCCTCAGTCTCCACCACTACCCCCCAACAACTCCCTCTCATGCCCTTCAGCTTTCATAGGGCTCACAACAGGGGCCCAAACCTGGTTAGGGGTGCAGGATGTCATCCTATCAATTCCAGGGTCATTGGTGCCAGGGGGTCCCCTGCTGGAGAGACTTGGAAGCCTGGCCTACTCCCCAAACCCTTCAGGCCCTGCAAAGCAGTGGATATTATTGCTCTCAAAGCTACTTGAATGAGACCACAGGACCACCAGCCATCTCTGATAATGCTCACAGTGAGAGGGCTAGGTTGGAGCCCGAGACACCCCCAGCTCTCAACACTCCCCAAATTGCCAGTCCCTGGGGGAGAAGATCTGCCCCAAACTCGAAGCTGCATTCGGACCCTAGACCCCAAGAATTTGTGCCCAACATCTCAAAAAGTCCCATATGAAACAGTAAATTTTCAGAGAACACATTCCCACAAGAACAACCATTTGTAGCTCAAAACAACCCAAATTCCTCTTTAGAAAAAAAAAAGGTTCCTACCCTCCAGCCCCCCACCCCGAGGAAACAGGCTACAGAGCTGCATCTCCGCCTACAACACAGCAGAGGTAGCCTGTCACATGACCACACCAGGCAGAGCAATTTAGCTCCTGGGGGCCACAGGTGGCTCTCGTATCTCCATTTCTGACTGTGGTCTCTGTTTTCACATTTGCAAAACTACACTGCCCATCTGATCTTCCAGAACTAAGGTGTGGTCTCCTCCAAAGGGTATCATATCACCACCTCTCGCAAGACAGAAAACTACAGGCAACTGTAAAATGACAGTTTTTCCAGCTTCAGGGAATGCCCAAAGACTTCCCTCTAGATTCATTTCAACCAGGAATCATAGTTCCAGGTTCCACGTGCTCCCCTTGCCCACAGCAGCCTGGGCGAACAGATGTCCTTGCCAATGGTTCCCCCTTCTCTTGTCCAGGGATCGCCATCTTTTCCCTGGCTAGAGATCCCTGCAACGTACTGTGTGTGGACTGGTTGACCGAAGCCTCATCTTGAAAAGGAGAGGTTGAGTAGAAAGCCAGAAGATCAGAGAAAAGATCTAGGAGAATTTGTGCCACTTGATACCACCTTTCTTATTCAAGAGGAATGGTTCTTAATCTGTTTTGGAGTTATACTCTGAGGAGTCCCTGGCTGGTTAAACGCTTAACTAGTAGCTGAAAGGTTGGTAGTTCGAATCCACCCAGAGGTGCCTCAGAAGACAGACCTGGCAATCTGCTTCCTAAAGGTCATAGTCTTAAAAATCCTATGGAGACTGAATTACTGGGCTGAGGGCTGGGGACCATGGTCCCGTGGGACATCTAGCTCAAGTGGCATAACATAGTTTACAGAGAAAATGTTCTATATCCCACCTTGGTGAGTAGCATCTAGGGTCTTAAAAGCTTGGGAATAGCCATCTAAGATATTCCACTGGTCCCACCCCATCTGGAGAGAGGGAGAATGAAGAAAACCAAAGACACAAAGGAAAGATTAGTCCAAAGGACTGATGGACCACAGCTACCACAGCCTCCACCAGGCTGAGTCCAGCACACCTAGATGGTGCCCAGCTACCACCACAGACTGCTCTTACAGGGATCACAATATAGGGTCCCAGACAGAGCTAGAGAAAAATGTAGAACAAAATTCAAACTCACAAAAAACGACCAGACTTACTGGTCTGAAAGAGACTGGAGAAACCTCGAGAGTATGGCCCCTGGACACCCTTTTAACTCAGTACTGAAGTCACTCCTGAGGTTCACCCTTCGGCCAAAGGTTAGACAGGCCCATAAAACAAACAATAATAATACACGTAGCTCAGCCATGTATATGAAACTAAATGGGCACACCAGACCAGGGGCAAGGATGAGAATTCAGGAGGGGACAGGAAAGCTGGGTGAATGGAAATGGGGAACCCAGGGTCAAGAAGGGGAGAGTATTGACATGTTGCGGGGTTGGCAACCAATGTCACACATGTTAAAAAACAGTATGTGTCTTAATTGTTTAATGAGAAAGTAATTTGCTCTGTAAACCTTCATCTAAAGAACAACAACAACAAAAAGCAAACCCTGTGGAGCAGTTCTACTCTGCACACCTGGGGATGCCATGAGTCAGAACTAACTCAACAGCAACTAACAACAGAGTACTCTGAGACTCTACAAAGCCTTGGACCCTCTCCAGAAGAAAAAATGCTGAAAAGTCACTGATATGTAGATTTGGTAAGCTACTTTAGGGGGTCCAGGGACCTTCTGTGGTAGTTAACACGCTGAAAGTTTGGTGGTTCAAATCTACCCAGTGGTATCTTGGAAGAAAGGCCTGGTGATCTACTTTCAAAATATCATCCATTGAAAACCCAATGGGGCACAGTTCTACTCTGA